GGCAGTCAGAGGGGGCCCTGCCCAGCCAATGGGTGCACACACAGGCTGCCTGGCTCCCTTCCCACTCACCACCATCCCTGACTTTATGTATTGGTTCAACCTCAAATATGACAAAATATACACACCACACAGTTGGGGCAGGTTTGGCTCAGGGGTGAAGATGCTGTTTGGGAGGCCAGTGCCCAGTACTGGAGGACCTGGGTTTGAATGCTGGCTCTTCTCTCAATGCCAGCTTCCTGCTAATGCACAGCCCGGGGGGTGGCAGGTGAGGGCTCAAGAGCTTGGGTCCCTGCCACCCACATGGCAGACCTGGATTTGATTTCCTGGCTCCTGCCTTTGGCCTGGCCCAGTCTAGTTGTTGCAGATATATGGGGAATGAATTAGCGAATGGAAGAGTTTTCCCTCGCTTGCAGCCTTTCAGTTAATAAATTAAAAAAAAAAACATAAAGCACACATAAAATGGACCATTTAATATCTTTTGAAGGGCCAGCGCAAGGGCTCAACTGGCTCATCTTTCACCTGCAAGCATCAGCTTCTCTTATGGGCTCTAGTTCATGTTCCAGCTACTCCATTTTCCATCCAGCTTGGGAAGGCAGCAGAGGATGGCATGTGTCTGTGGGCCCTTGCACCTACATGGGAGACCGGGAAGAAGCTCCTGGCTCCTGGCTTTGGATCAGTTCAGCTCCAGGCATTGCAGCCATTTGGGGAGTGAACCAATAAATAGAAGACCTCTCTCTCTGCCTCTCCTTTTCTCTATAAATCTGCTTTTCCAATAAAAAAAAATTATTTTAACATTATGAAACCCTTTGAGTTCCCAGTTCCGTGACGGTACGTAGATTCCTCTTAGGCAACTATGGCCACCTTCCACCTCTAGAGCTTTCTCATCTTCCCAAATGAAAGTCCTACTCAACCCTCATTCTCTGCCACCAGCCCTTTCTGTCCCTAAGAAGTTAACCATTATGGGCCCAGTGCAATAGCCTAGTGGCTAAAGTCCTCGCCTTGCATCCACCGAGATCCCATGTGGGCACCAGTGCACAGCCAGGTCTCCCAAGGGTTAACTCCACAGCGTAGCATGTTTATTTAGGGGTAATGGGATGGGCAATCTTGGCCTGATACATTTAGCCCCTGGCTTGACATCAAGCTCCCTCTTCCGTGCTTCCCCTTTTTTGAGATGCCCTTGGGGGAGCTTAGGAGTTGCTTGAGCATTGGGAAAATACTGGAAGGAACCAGGCAGACCATAAAAGAGGCAGGCCAACTTCGAATAAACGGCTTTCTCTTCGCAAGAATGACCCACTGCGTGTTGTCTTTTTTGTAACCCTAGTCCCTCGCTCAGGGTACACAGTGATGTGGGCGAGGCCGACACACCAGTTTGTATCCCGGATGCTCCACTTCCCATCCAGCTCCCTGCTTGTGGTCTGGGAATGCAGTCGAGGATGGCCCAAATCTTGGGACCCTGCACCCACGTGGGGGACCTGGAGGAATCTCCTGGCTCCTGGTTTCAGATTGGTGCAGTTCCAACCATTGCGGTTACTTGGGGAGTGAACCAGCAGATATTCTCTATCTCCTCTGTGAAAATCTGACCTTCAAATAAAAATTAAAAAAAAAAAATATTAACCATTCTTGGTCACACAGTTTGATATTCTCAAGCTGCATCCCACACTTTAACACTTTATCCCCACCATCTTCCCGGCGCTGTAGGACTCCGACGACATATACCTGTCCCTACACCCTGACGCAGAAGAGCCCTGTGGAGCAGGTGAGACCAAGCGTCAGGTAGGGGTGTAAAGGTGACTACTTTGCCATTCCCCCCACCCCTAGGCAAGCCTTACCTGTGAACAGTCACCCACCCTGGGTGTCCCCTGGCCCTCTGAACCCCAGATCACAACTGCATTCCTTTGCTTTCTACCCGGCTTGCAGGGTTTGAGAGGTGACGTATAGGCCCAGGTGCCTGCTGCCCCGTCCTTGGGATCTCGACCCCAGCACCTCCCTGCTGAGCCGCTGTCATAACCTGACTCCTCTCACATTCATTCAGCAGACACTGCGCGTGTCTGTACTCACAGAGGGAGTTGGCCCTGGACAGGCATGTGGAAACTCACATGGCAGAGAACACGTGGGCAAAACACTTTCAAACTGGAAAACAAGGGGGGGGGGCGCTAGGAAGACCCTGACAATGCAATTTGGCCCGTGCCTTGGAGGAGGCGGAGTAGGAGAAGGAAGTGGCCTAGGCTCCACAAGAAATAGCTGTGAGTGGCTCCAGCCCCAGGAGGTGGCAGCTGAGTTGTGTGTGTCCTCAAGGGTTAACCCTAAAGGACTGAATCTTAAAGGATTAACCTGCTGGAAGAGCAAGGGACTTCACCCTTGGCCCAAGGGCAACATCCAGGCAGGCACAGGAACAGGCAAAAGCCCATTTAGGAAGCACACAGCAGTGTGGCAGGGCAGAGGGGAGGTGACACAGGTTGGCAGGGGCTGAGCCAGAAAGGAGCCCCCCATGCTTACTGCCCAGGCTGACATTCTCTCTTTCCCTCCTTAAAAACTCTTCTGTTGCTGTTCCTTCTATTGAGCTTAAGATCCACAAATAGAATGTGGTAAGTCTACCCTCTTTGAAAAGGAAAAATCTGAAATTAGAACTTGAAAAGAATCAATGTGAATTAAGGACCTACTAGGAATCGGTCACTTGGACATTTGCTTATCCAGGTTATTCTGTAGAAGACAGTGTCCCCTCGCAAGTGTTGGTTCCCCCCCCCTCTCCCCCCACCTCCGGCCCCCAGACCATAAAGCCTCCAACCTCACTCCTGGGGCCAGCACCTTCCATCCTCGTCCATGCTGCCACCTGCTGGACTCTCTCTTTCTCTTGCATTCTCAGTCACACAATCTTGATCTTCATGAAGAAATTATTTGTGCATTCTTCACATTCGTGGGTAACAAAATGCCACCCAAAGTGTACTGAGCCATCTTTCTCTTTTTATTTTTTTAAGGTTTATTTATTTATTTGAAAGGCAGAGTTACAGAGGAGAGAGAGAGAGAGAGAAGACAGACATAGAGAGATCCATCTCCAATTCACTCCTCACATGGCCACAATGACTGCAGTGGGGCTGGTCCGAAGGCAGGAGCCTGCGGCGTCCTTTGGGTCTCTCCCATGTGCATGTAGGGGCCCCAGCACTTGGACCATCTTCCACTGCTTTCCAAGGTGCACTGGCAGGAGCTGGATTGGAAGTGGAGCAGCCAGGACTAGAACATACAGTGCTCATAGGGGATGGCAGCACTGTAGGTGGCAGTTTTACCCGTGGTGCCATAGCACTGGGGGTGAGAGTCCTGTGTTTCTCTTTCTCTCTTTTTAAGATTTATTCATTTTTATTGGAAAGTCAAATATACAGAGAGGAGGAGAGACAGAGAGGAAGATCATCCGTCCGATGATTCACTCCCCAAATGGTTGCAATAGTCAGTGCTGTGCCAATCTGAAGCCAGGAGCCAGGAACTTCTTCCGGGTCTCCCACACGGGTGCAGGGTCTCAAGGTTTTGGGCCGTCCTTGAGTGCTTTCCCAGGCCACAAGCAGGGAGCTGGATGGGAAGTGGAGCTGCCGGGATTAGAACCGGTGCCCATATGGGAGCCTGGTGCGTTCAAGGCAAGGACTTTAGCCGCTAGGCCATAGCACAGTGCCCCTGTGTTTCTCTTTCTAAGATGTAATTCCTAAGCCCTGGTGTGCACAGATGTGTTTGTGAAGCGTATTTCCGCTAACAGCAGGACAGTCATAAAACATAACAGAGAGTTGGGCCATTGTTCTGATGTCATCACTTTTCCCTTTAAGAAATAAGTGAACTCATGATACACTTTCTGCTTTCTTTTCCCTTTTCTATTCCCACCCAGGACTGGAGACCGTTTTTTTTTTTTTTTAATTTATAAAGATTAGTTTTTGATCATTTTTACACATTTGATTAGGGTGTGAAGGGTCAAGGGTTAGAGGAAAGTGGGTGAGAGCAATGTTGGGCTGGAGACTCTGCTTCCATCCAGGGTGGAGTAGCTCAGGGAATCAGCCTCTATCTTCCTAACCTGAAACAAAGACATTCACAAACTATACTAGACATACCGGCTGCTGGGAAGGGTGTTGGCCTCCAAAGCGGGGGACAGAGGAAGTAAAGCTGTGGGTAGCTCAGCTCAGGGCTGTGGCAGCTGGGGGTGGGGTTGGGTGGGGTGTGGAATCCAGTGACAGCTCTGAGTCAAAGAAAGGGGGTTCCAAGTCTGGCTAGAGTTCACAGGACAGGCGGACCAGACAGGAGTAAGACACCATCCCCTGACCATGTAAACACTGGTGGTCAGCAGAGGGGACCCCCACCACACACCCTCCCGCTGCCTACTGCCAGGGTATCAACAGAGAGTTGCGGAAGAGCAACCCTGAAGGATTAGTGGTGACAATTCTTTGTGCCCAATGCTCACACAGGGCCGGAAATGGTGCCTTTTCTCAACAGCCAGACTGGAAAACTTCATGATTCATGGGGAATTACACAGAGCGCACAGGAAGGCCTGGCCCCCATTGTGAGGACCAGCAGTCCCCCCATCCCTATCCCGCTGAGCCAGGCATCCATCCATCCTGCCCTAAACCAACGGACGGTCAGAGCAGTACCTGCTCAGCTGCAGCCCAGGCAAAACGCACGCAGCAAGGCAGCAATCGCAAAGTACCACCACATCAAACACTGATATGCAAAAGGAGCCATCCAAAAAAGCAATCCAGGAAGGTTTTCATCAACAACAGGGTCCTTTTTAGTTAAAACAGCCCCAGTGCACAGGAGGTTCCAGATGGGATTACAAATCACATTGTCTCTCTCTCTCTCTCTCTCTCCATTCCCTAGAAAGAGTAAGCAGTAAAGGTCTCTAGTTGCTAAGACAAAACCAAACACATCCCACCCCTCCATCACAATAAATAAAAAATAAATAAAAAGGAACCAGCCAACCACCTCCACCGCCCCGCCTCCACTGCTGGAGCCTGGGTAAGGCGCTGTTTGTTCTAGCGGTAGATGAAGATCTTTGATTTCTGTGGTAAGAAATCGCCGCTCCCCATGGAGATGCGCCTGTTGTAGGTCAGGATGTTGCCCTGGCTATGGTCTTTGTAGATGATGTGAGCATAGGTGATGACGTAGAACGCCCAGAAGCAGTGCATGACCACGCGAGCCACCAAGCCAAACCAGCGCAGGACTCGGACCTCCGCGGTGTGCAACCCCGTGTTGGTGAGTCCCTGGACGATGATGTTGACGATTTCGTAGAAGAGGATCCAGATGACGTAGGTCATCAGGCCCTTGTAGAGCTTCACATACACCGAGTAGAGGAGGAAGCAGCTGATGACAACGGTGATGATGGACAGGTAGAAGACGATCATCTGGCTGTGACAAATGATGAACTTGTTGATGACGTCGTCCGTGCTGTTGTAACGGGTTTGGGTTTTCAGAGGGCAGTAGCTGTCTCTCAGGTGCTTCTGCTCGAAGTTGAGATACAGGTACACGGCCAGCAGGGTGAAGACGCCTGACAGCACGGTGCCCAACTTGGCCGTCATCCCACACCAACGCTTCTGCTTCCCGCCCAACCTTCCTGCGAAGACAGAATGTTCGGGGGGCATGGCGGCTTCTGGCTGCGTGGGAAACTCCCAGGGCTACTGTCTCTGTCCCCAGATCCACTTAGGAGATGGAGAAATGGAAACCAGGACAGCACAGCCTGGGGAAGACAAGGGCTGTTTCAAGTCCACCAGGGAGAGGGATGTCAGAGGGTTTAATCTGGGGTTGGCAGCCGTGAGCACATGAATCACAGCACTGATCCCCGGCCCCCACCCATGCCAGTGGGAGCAATGCCCAGGTGGGAGTCTGGCAGCAGCGAGCACTGTTGCTTGAAACCTCCTCAGGAGTTTTCAGATCTACCCAGTGTTAAGAAGACACTGTTAGACAAGAGGACTTTAAACTGGGCTCTCCCGGCAATGCCTTGGGCAGCCCTTGCTGTGTGTCTGATGTTGAAAATCAGCTGTGCTGAGCTCAGGCACCTTGGGGAATCACCAGCACAGCATTAAAGCCAGGACTCCAACTGGCACTCTGATATTCCAAGCAGTGGCTCTCCTGCCAGGAGAAGCTGATGGTAACAGGTAGATGCCAACTGGCCCACTACACACCAAAATGTATGGGTCACAGTGATATATATCCTTTAAGGGACACTGAGAGTCTTAAAAATTTTTTTTTTAAAGTTAAAAATATTTATATTATTTATATTGAAAACTCAGATATACAGAGAGGAGGAGAGACAGAAAGAAGATCTTCCATCTGGTGATTCATTCCCCAAGTGACCACAACAGCCAGTGCTATGCCAATCTGAAATCAGGAGCCAGGAACTTCCTCCAGGTCTCCCATGTGGGTACAGGAACCCAAGGCTTTGGACCCTCCTTGACTGCTTTCCCAGGCCACAAGCAGGGAGCTGGTTGGGAAGTAGAGCTGCCGGGATTAGAACCAACACCCGTATGGGATTCCAGCATGTTCAAGGTGAGGACTTTAGGCACTAGACCACTGCGCCAGGCCCAAGATTTATTTTTATATTTTTATTGGAAAGGCAGATTTACAGAGAGGAGAGACAAAGATCTTCCATCCACTGGTTTACTCCCCAAGTGGTCACAATGGTTGGAGCTGAGCCAATCCAAAACCAGGAGCCAGGAACCTCCTCCGGGTCTGCTACGTGGGTGCAGACTCCCAAGGCTTTAGGCCATTCTTTGCTGTTTTCCCAGGCCAGAAGCAGGAAGCTGAATGGGAAGTGGAGCAGCTGGGACATGAACCAGTGCCCATGTATGATCCCAGCACATGCAAGGCGAGGATTTAGCGACTTAGCCATCATGCCAAATCCAATATTCCTTTCTATTTAAGATTTATTTATTTTATTTGTAAGACAGAATTGCACACACACACATACAGAGCTTCCATACACTGATTTACTCATCAAATAGCCACAATGGCCTGGGCTGGGTTGAAGCTGGGTCCCCCGTGTGGGTACAGGAGCTAACCTCTGCTGTTTCTCTAGGCCATTAGCAGGGATGCTGGATGGAAAGTGGAACAGCCAGGATTCGAACAGGTGTCCATATGGATTGCTTCTATGCCAGGCAGTGAACAGAATATTCTTATAATAGATGCAACAGGTGTTGCGGCACAGTGGTTAAGCCACTGCTTCGCATATCAGAGTGCTAGTTGGAGTCCTGGTTACTTCTGAGTTTCAATACAACTTCCTGCTAATGTACCTTGGAGGGCAGCAGCTGTTGGTTCAAGTGCCCGAACCCAGGCCACCTGTGTGGACAACAGGAAATGGCGTTCCTGACTGTTGGCTTTGACCTGACTTAGACTCAGTTGTTGTGGATCAGCAGATGGAATATCTGTCTGCCATCTTGCCTTTCAAATAAATAAATATTCATAAAAGAATACGTTATGGTAGAATAGACAATATTGAGGTAAGTGTTAAACTCAAGAAATTGGGGATAAAACAAGAAAAATTAAAAAAAAATAGGAGGGGGACATTATGGTGCGGCGGGCTAAGCTGTTTCCTATGATGCTGGCACTTCACACTAGAAAGATGGTTCAAATACCAGCTAGTCTTTTCCCAATCTGTCCTTGGACTCCTTCCATCCATGTGGGAGACCCAGATGGAACTCTTGGTGCTTGGTTTTGGTCTAGCTAGTTCCCAGCCAATGCAGCCATTTGGGAAGTTCTCTCTCTCTCTTCTCCATCCCCTCTGTTGATGCCTTTCAAACAAATAAACAAATAACTCCTTTAAAATGAGAAGGAAGGGCCTGGCGCGGTAGTCTAGCGGCTAAAGTCCTCGCCTTGCAAGTGCCAGGATCTTCTTTAGGTGCTGGTTCTAATCCCGGCAGCTCCACTTCCCATCGAGCTCCCTGCTTGTGGCCTGGGAAACCAGTCGAGGACAGCCCAAAACCTTGGGACCCTGCACCCGTGTGGGAGACCTGGAGGAATTTCCTGGCTCCTGGCTTCAGATTAGCTCAGCTCTGGCTGTTGTGCTCACTTGGGGAGTGACTCATCAGATGGAAGATGTTCCTCTCTGTCTCTCCTCCTCTTTGGACATCTGACTTTGCAATAAAAATATACATACGGAAAACATTTAGCCAGTCTATACCTTTGAATTGGGGGATTTGATTCTCTTTTTTAAAAGCTGAAGGTTATTACCAACAAGTAAGAACAGACGTCTGTCACTCTGCTTCCTTTCTTCTTCTTCTCCTGGTTGTTTTGTGCGGCCTTTTTTCTTGGTTCTACTCTTGTTGTTCATCTTTGTGGTTTGGCGTTGTTCTACACCGAAAGGATCTGATTCTCTTATCTCTTCTGTAAATCTGCCCAACTGCTGAGATTTGTACCTCTGCAGGTTTGGATGTTGGCAGTTATCAGCTTTCTCGTTTGTTAATAGTTGTTTTTTTTTTTTTTTAAGATTTAGTTTATTTTTATTTGAAAGGCAGATTTACACACAGAGAAAGAGAGAGCAAGCAAGATTTTTTTATCTGCTAGTTTACTCCCCAAAGAGCAGCAACAGCTGGAGCTGAGCTGATCTGCAGCCAGAAGCTTCTGTGTCTCCCACAGAGGTGCAGGGTCCCAAGGCTTTGGGCCGTCCTCTGCTGCTTTCCCAGGGCACAAGCAGGGAGCTGCATGGGAGGTAGAGCAGCCAGGACATGAACTGGTGCCCATATGGGATATTGGTACTTCAAGGTGGAGAATTAGCCAGTTAATTCAGCACACTAGCCCTTCAGATGACTTTTAAATATTTTTTTAACTATTGTTTTAAAATATGTATTTATGGGCCCGGTGCTGTGGCCTGGCACCTCAAGTCCTCACCTTGAATGTGCCAGGATCCCATATGGGTGCTAGTTCTAATCCCAGTGGCCCCGCTTCCCACCCAGTTCCCTGCTTGTGGCCTGGGAATGCAGTCGAGGAAGGCCCAAAGCCTTGGGATCCTGTACCCACGTGGGAGACCTGGAGGAAGTTCCTGGCTCCTGGCTTCGCATTGGCGCAGCACCAGCCATTGCGGCCATTTGGGGAGTGAATCATCGGATGGAAGATCTTCTTTTCTGTCTCTCCTCCTCTCTCTATATATCTGCCTTTCCAATAAAAAAAAAATAAATCTTTAAGAAAATAAAATAAAATATGCATTTTTTTTAATTGGAAAGGCAGAGTTACACAGAAAGAAGAGGGGCAGAAAGCTTCCATCCTTTGGTTCATTCCTCAAATTGAAGCAGTAGCCAAAGCTGAGCCAGTCTGAAGCAAGAAGTAGGCGCTTCCTCCAGGTCTTTCTAATGTGGCTACAGAGACCCAAGCACTTGGGCCATCCTCTGCTCCTTTCCCCGGTCTGCCATTAGCAGGGAGCTGTATAGGAAGTGTAGCAGCCAGGGCAACAACCAGCAGCCATCTGGGAAGCTGGCATCACAGCTGGCAGCTTTACCCACTATGCAAAAATGCCAGCCCCTAAAATATTTTTCAAGATTTGAGAGCACCCTGTATGATGATACACCCCCTTATTTTTTTTTATAAAATTAGATGTCACATGTCAAGCATGTGCTTGACTCTTTTGTAGCCAGCTTTTCGTTGTTGTTGTTGTTCCTACCATGATTGTCTTACGAGGTCAGAAGTTTTATGTAGCTCGCCATTTTGGAAGGTCGGGCTTTGTGAAGGCCCCACGGAGGACGTGGGCAGGAGAGAACATGAACAAGACCTCTTGCTAATCCTAAAAGCAGGACAGGGGAATTGGTGGGGGCCAGTGGTCAGGGAGTAGGGGCACAGACACGAGTGGGTCAGATGGGAGGAGCACAGGATTCGATCACAGTTTAAAACAGACAAATGAACTAGTTCATCAATGAAGGATTCAAAGTGGGCTGTGCATGTTTTAAAATCGGGTGGGCGAAGACATGTCATCTAGCCTCGTACCTGCAGCGTAGTTGGCCCTGCCACTTTCACTGCTTCCCGTCCACCTGCAACACACAGAAGACTTTCTCTTGCCAGTCTGTAAAAGCTCATAACGATTTTGTGTTCCTGTCGACTGATCATTTTCTCCCAACAATAATTGTGTGTGTGTGTGTGTGTGTGTGTGTGTGTGTGTGTGTGTGTGTGTGTGTGTTGGGGGAGGGAATCAAACACATGGCCACATAGTAACTTGAGGGACTTCAACAAGTTCCTGAAAAAACTGAATGGAAAGATAGTGTGGCTGGCAGGTGTTGGGGGTAGTAAAGATATTGCTTTGTGATGCGTACACCCCAGCAGGGCACCTGCTCTGCTAATGATCCAACTTTCTGTCCGCGTGCATCCTGAGAGGCGCAGGTGTGTGTCCTTGATGGCTCGAGCCTTTGGTCTTGGCCACCAGTGTGGGAGACTTGGATCGAGTGCCAGGCTCTTGGCTTCAGCATGGCCCACTGTCACAGAAAGAAGTTTCAACAGATGGCAGATCTCTCTCTCCCCTCTCTGTCACTCTATCTTTCAAAAATATAAAAAGATTTATAGTTCCATTCTTTAAAATGACGATGTGAATTTTCCGCAGAGAAAACATACGGAATGGGTGAGTTTCAACTCTTTTTACATCAGAATAGACTGGGCCTTTCAATTC